CGACCTTTTTTGTCAATTTAGCAACGGGCTTAGTTGCAACGGGCTCTTTATACATATCAGACAACTCGCTACTACTTAAACTACAACTATGGCTATCAATATTTTTTGTCAATTTAGCTCAGCAATAGTGCCTGGCTTAATAGACTGCTTTGCATTCACCCCCTCAGAAGACAGAGAGAACCAACTCAACATGTCAGAAGATTAACAGAAATTTCATTTGTATGGCATGAACATATAGCAGGAGCACCAACACATAGATCAGCAGAGAGCAGAGCACAACATGCACACACTCGGGCCATCTATATCATACACACACAGCAACGCACACACGCATCACGCTGGCATACACATACAGAAAAGCAGGCACACACGCATCATGTGCATTGGCCGGTGCGACGCACGCAGAGCAAGTACGTACGCACGGAGAGCAAGCTAGCAAGCACGCACGCGTCCAACCCCGCCGCTGCATGCGCTGGCAGAAGGTGAGGCAGCAAGGGAGACTGCACATTGAAGCTGTCCATGCAAGGCTGGAGGTGTTGGGCCGGCGATGGCGGTGTCGGGACGGCGCTTGATTCGTTCCCGGTGGCGTGGAGCTTGGGGCGGCAACGCGGCGATAGCTAGTGCTCGGGGATGGGGGTTTGGGGCGGGGGCAGTCGACCCGATGGCTGGCGAAGTTAACGGGCTCGGGCGGCTGGAAATTCGGCGGGTGGCGGCGGCACAGCGCGAGGATGGGACAGGCGGAAAACCTAGCGGGCGTTCAACTACCAATACCCACGCCTTTTTTAGGGGAATTGCTTTGAAAATAACGTGCAACGACGACTTAGCGAGCGGATCCCTTTAAAAAAGACATAGCGAGCAGATTCCCTTAAAACTGGTAGGAATGGATACGATTGATGACGTTGATAAATAGTGGTGAATGTTGGCATAATTTACTATCATCATGCATGGAAACGAATCATCAAGAAAAAGAATACTTCCTATTACTACACTCATAGGAAGCTTCCTAATCTCTGCTACCAAACAGTTTCTGCCCAAACAAGGAAGGAAAGTTATGAACGTGGTTCAGAAGGAAACAAACGTTATGAAGATTAATTAATTTAGATTTGATCTTTAGAGATTGATTGTGATTGATTCTTTTACATAAAGACATTACTAAATAATTTGCGTCAGTATGGAAACGAATCATCAAGAAAAAGAATACTTCCTATTACTACACTCATAGGAAGCTTCCTAATCTCTGCTACCAAACAGTTTCTGCCCAAATAAGGAAGGAAAGTTATGGACGTGATTCGGAAGGAAACAAACGTTATGAAGATTAATTGATTTAGATTTGATTTTTAGAGATTGATTGTGATTGATTCTTTTACATAAAGACATTACTAAATAATTTGCGTTAGTATGGAAAGTTCTGATCCGTTCAGTTTTTTCGTTGTGTGAGAGGGTGAAGTGAAAATAAACTGATGAAGTGGGAAGGCGACGAACAAAATCTACGACGGTTAACCTACGGAAAAAACTGGACAAAAGTGGTGGGACGAAAAAAAACCTGAAAGCAAGACTACCAACTACTTTATTAGGAGTAGAGACTCATATAATACTGATGCTTGTTGTCACAGAGCTTAAAGTTTGGTCACTGAAATGCCTCACTATCGTTTAACCTGCCTTAGTAAGACACGAAACATCAAACATGTGGCTTCATCCCGGGTGGATTGTAGTAAAATAATACCTTTTAGCTATCCCCACGAATGTTACTGTTGATTTCCCTCATTTTTGTTTGCATGAGTATTTCAATATATTTTAACTGGTAGTTTCTATAAGTTATGCAAAATTGGAAGGTACACACATATATGACAAAAAAGGTCACTGCATAGGAATCTAAAGCGTGTGAAACAACTGGTCATCCAAGCGAGCGCCTCCTCTTGCGGACTACTCTTTTAACCTTACAAGTTACACCCCACAAACCATTAAAGCATGCTCAATGCAGGGTGCTAGGAGAGGGCTCCGAGATCAAAATCCTGATTAGTGGGCATTTGGGCATGTCATTGACGCAAAAGGATATGTTGTCCTCTTACTTTTTTCTAGCACAAGCTAATGCAATAACTGATTTTACATAGTATATTTTTCGTCCTCGAACTCTTTCGAGAGTTTAGAAATCGTCCCTCAACTCAAAACCGGATAGTTTTCGTCTCTCAACTATCAAAACCGGATAGTTTTCGTCCATCACACCGCTTCGGGTGGTTTTCGTCTGTCATGAACAGTAAACCGACAAACAGTAAATTCAAAAAAAATAGCAAAAAAATCTGAAAACTTGTGGGATCAAAGTTCCTCGGGTGTGCAAGGTGCGTACAATTTTTCATATTGTTTAGACATTTCGGGTGCTCATGATAAAGAAAAAAATTGTAAATATGTACGTCGCTGAACACCTGGAATGTCCAAACAATATGAAAATTTGTACGCACCTTGCACACCCGAGGAACTTTGATTCCATAAGTTTTCAGATTTTTTTGCTTTTTTTTTTGAATTTACTGTTCGTCAGTTTACTGCTCATGACGGACGAAAACCGCCCAAAGCGGCGTGAGGGACGAAAACTATCCGGTTTTGATAGTTGAGGGATGAAAACTATCCGGTTTGAGTTGTGGGATGATTTCTAAACTCTCGAAAGAGTTCGAGGACGAAAAATATACTTATCCCTTTATTTTATGATATGTGTTTTTCTCTGTTAGCATCTATTGAAGCGTCTAGTGTTGAACATGATCTTAGCAGTCACATATTCTTTTATTGGCATCTCCCCGCTGCACTCTTTGTTATCCATGGACTACCCGCTCACTAAACTTCATTTTCTCACAATAATAATGGTGGTACCGCCTCAACACCCACCACTCGCATATGAATTTAAGATCTCCATGCACCAAATAGACCGAACTCGTCGCCAAAGTCATCGAATCACCAGAAGACACATCCGTCTCGCTCCACATTAGCATGGTTGGTCATGTTGAATGTATCATGCTATATCTATGATTTACTGAAAATAGCTCTTAATACGGGCTCATCAAATAAAAGGGAAAGGAAATCAAGATGGGCTGTTTTATTTGTATTGCAGGATGAGGTGGCGTAAGCCACTGGAACTGTATTTCATCATTCTTTTTTATATATTTTGTACGGGTCTTTTCTAGATTTTTTTTAAATCCAGTGCATACACATACACTTACATAAATGGATTATTTGAAGACACACATGCACATAAAAAAACTTAAAATAAATCTAGAAAAATATGTTCATGACAAATCTTGGGCTCGAATATGTTCCCGCAGCCTAGTTTTTTTTAGGAATTCACATTCTAGCTCAGTTCACATTATAGTTTTTTTTAGACGGCCAACACACTTTATTTACTCAATATGTTCACGGGAATACAAAGATTAGAAGGGGGACCAAAAAGCCACAAATGGTGTCTCCCCCCTAAACTAGTTGCCATCCTTGCTAAGCGATGGGCTTCAACATTATTCTCACTTCGTTCGTGGAATATTTCACATGCCTAAAACCCAAATTTTGGAGAGTTAATCTCTTTTGTAATCATGCAATAGCCTCCTAGTTGTTTGGTGGACTTGAGCTTGGTACTGACTCTCAGACAGTTACTCCCTCCATCCGTGAATAAGTGTACTTCTAGCTTTTGTTCTAAGTCAAAGTTTTAAAATTTTGACCAACCATGTACAAAAGAGTAGTGACATATATGACATCAAATTGATATATTATGAAAGTACATTTCAAAACAGATCCAGTGATACTAATTTAGTACCATAAATGCTGCTACTTTTTCGAGTTGGTCAAAGTTTTAAAACTTTGACTTAAGACAAAAGCTAGAAGTACACTTATTCGCGAACGAAGGGAGTAGTTTTTTTTAGGGAAAACATGCTTTGCTTTATTGATGAAATACCTTCTTGGCGGACTTGAGTTATTGTTGAATCTTCATTGGCGAAGATAGCTCAAAGTTGGGCAAAAATCTTTTGATGAACATATGAGTTGGCATAGGGCTTTGGTGCTCACCTTCATGAATAAGTTGCCAGTGCGCAGACCAAATCACCCAGGGATAGTTTTTTTAGGCGAATCGCGCAAGGTTAGTTTTCCAAGCTATATATAATCGCTCAGGGTTAGTTGATATTGAAAGCTTTGTTTTTTAGAAACTTGAAAGCATTGTCTGGGAGTGGGAGTTTGCATTATAGCTTTTCTCAGTTCGCATTTTTTTTGAGACAAAGTTCACACTATAGCTATTATATACCCCCTTCATCCCAAAATTTTTGTCTTAGATTTGTCTAGATACGGATGTATCTAAAACTAAAATGTAACTAGATGCATCCGTATTTAGACAAATTTTAAGACAAAAATTTTAGGACAAAGGGAGTATATGTTTAGTTTTTTAGTCTAATTATATACTCCCTCCGTTCGTAAATATAAATCTTTTTTAGATATTTTAATAAGAACTACATACATATATATGTGTGTGTGTGTGTGTGTGTGTGTACTGTAAAATGTAGATTCACTCATTTTGCTTCATATGTAGTCCACATTTGAAATATCTAAAAAGACTTATATTTCGAAACGGAGGGAGTATATTTTTAGTTTTTTTAGACAAGGGAGTATATTTTTAGTAACGTTAGCATTATAGCTTTGTTGCAATGTTGGACTTGTGGGCCTACTGCGTCCTTGAGAGCATCCAACAACATTAGAGTTGTTTGTTGGGCCCAAAGAAAATCCTAAAATGGTCGTGTTAACTCACAAGCCCGGTCTGAGCCTGTTTAGGCGGGCCTATATTCCATGCAGCCCCCTCCCTTTACATTTCTGCCCCTCGCCACAACTCTCTCTCTCTCTCTGACTAACCCTACACCGCAGCGACTATATAAAAGCTTTACCCGTCAGAGTCTCTAGGGTTCTTCGTTTCTCCCTCGCGCCGCCGCCTCCTCTCTCGTCCCGGCGCGCTTGGAGCTCGACCTACCCGCGCGCCGCCCACCATGGTACGCGATCATCACTGGGATAGAACATGCTGCTCCTTGCTGTTTTACGTGCCCTGACGCCGGTGTTGATCTCGTGTTTTGTTTCTCTCAGATCATCTCCAAGAAGAACCGCAATGAGATCTGCAAGTACCTCTTCCAAGGTCAGCAATTCTCAATCCTTCGCGCTTGTAGGCTAGTAGCCACAATTGAGGCGTAGTTGATCGTGAATAGGATTGAGCTGATGCGCCCACATCAACTACGTTTAGTGCAACTTATTTATCTTTACAAAGAAAAATAAATCTTTAAAGGGAAGAGGTGAATTGTATTAATGTATAGGATTTGATTCGTTGGTACAGTTTTGCATGCCAGGAAACCTAGTAGGCTCTCATAAGTTGGGTCGGATCATGTTCTCCCATAAGCAAAATGAATCTATGTATAAGGGGGATTGGTATCTCTGAATTTATGTGCATCAACAAACAAATGAAAATTCCATGCCATGGCTTGTTATGGAAAAGAATTTTATGAGACCAGGTCTCACGCGAGACCCATCCTGATG